CCCGCAGCTGCACCCCTGCCCACCACACTCACATTCCGGGGGCTCCTAGAGTCCGGGGGTCGGACGGACCAGGCCCCGCTCCCCTATTTGAGTCCCCCTCCGCGTCTGGGCGCGGGGACACGCCATGCGCCCAGCTTCCGCGCGGCTGGCGGAGGGGCCGAGCGGGGCCCGAGGGGACCTCCGGGTCGGGCCTCCGAGGCCTCCGCGCCGGGTCCGCCCTTCTCCCCCACCCCGGCGGGGACCCGGAGAGGCCCGACCGCAGCCGCCCTCCGCTTAGCCGGCCGCCCGCGGCTCGCCGGGAGCAGCGCAACAAAGGGTGGCATCGCGGCGGCGCGGGCAGGGACCTCATTGGTTCAATATTAGCTTTTCATTCCAGTCTATTGTGCCCATCTGAGATAATATTGACTCTGAGGTGAGAGCCCACAGACGACAGAGCTTGTCTAACACTCCGCGGCAGGGCGCTCGAAGGGAAGAGAACCAGAAACGGAAAGTTAAAGGCACTGCAAACAGAAGCGGCTCGCGCGGCGGCGCGCCCCGGGGCGGCGGACGGCCCCGGCAGCCGGGCGCTCTGGGCGGCGTGCGCCCGGGCCTCCGGCCGGGGAACCGCGCTTCGGGAGAGGGTCTCTGGGTCCCCCCGCTCGAGGAGGGGCACTGCGCGTTCTCATCGAAAACAGCTCTCGCTTAACACACACTCCCGTCTTCCAGACGATTGCTTTTGAGGTCCCGCTTCTAGGTAACTGGAGAAAAACTGAATCCCCCACACACTGTTTTAGCTTGCCAGGAAGCCAACGTCGGCCTCTGGGGTATTTTCCCCTTTTAAAAGATGAAACTCTTCAGGGTAACTTCTCTGTCAAAACGTTTCTCCTATTTCTTCAGCATGAGAAGAGTAAACACTCGCAGCAATTATCATTAAGCTGCATTACTTGGAAGTGCGCGGTTAATATCAAATTTCTAACTGTGCATTTCGCTTTGCTTTGAATCGTCTCCTTGCAGCCCATCCACGGGTTTCGTAACTGCCTTTCTAACCGCAGCTTTAAAGCGCCTCTGAAACGTCAAGTCTTGCATATAAAGATTCGTTTCAATTTCCAAATTGCCTCTAAATGCCCACATTGGAAAATGGCACTTTAAGTTGTCTTATATGTCTGAGACAGAACACTTAGGTTTACACTGGGGGGCGGGGGGTAACCAAACGCCAAATGCTCAGGGCTTGCGGTGACCGTGGAGAAGGATGCCCTAGGGTCTCATTTACGAAATTTGTGTCTCCCCCACCCCCCTCATTGGAGACTGACCTCTGTAAGAGATAATCTGTTAACTCCATTACTCCAGTGAGGAGCTAGTCATTTGGAATATTTATGTCCACCCCAAGACACGTGGGCTGGTAGGGAGCTGGGATGGAGTGAGGACTGGGGTGGTGCCACCAGCATCTGGGGACCATTGTGCGCCTGCCTCCTCCTCAGGCTCCCTGGGGCTCCGTGGTACCCGTCCCCTTGGCTCCTTGGATATTTCAGAGGAGATGCTGTTTAATATATATGACCTATAATATATTATGTATGCTCCATTTGTATTATGTATTATTTGTATTATTTTTTATATACAATATATAATTAGGGATTATATATTATATATTATTTAACATATAACGTGTATTATATGGTTTCATCATATTTTATGCTGTTTGACATATATTTAACATCTAGTTCCTGTATTACATTATTATATTACTTATTAACATATAATATGTTTAATTAACTATACATTATATATCATATACTGTATACAGTTCTGGATGTATAAAATACAAATATTTATTATATATGTGTTGTGTGTGCAAAAGTATTTGGGGGAGCCTTTAATCTCCCTGAAAGTGTGTATTTGATTGTTTAATGCAAAGTTATAAAGTCCTGATCGAAACCACGTTGACACCAGTTCTGTCTTTATGGCAAACACCCTGGTGTCCAATTTGGGCCCCAGGGAAAGGCGGGGTGGGGGTAACTGACGGGAGGGACAGCAGGTCCCTCTCTGGAAAGTGCTTTTCCAAATGCCCGGTCCCTGGGAACAGAGGAGACCGCGTTGTGGACCTGGCGGCCGCCTCCTTTTCATTTGCGTCGTGGTGGTTGTTTTGGTTTGGAGAGAGGCTGTTTAGAGGCTCCGACGGCCCCTAAACTGATGTCATGAATTAAAAATGAATCTGGGGAGTGCAGCATCTGCCCAGCTGAGGCGTCTGGGCGGGCAGCGGAGGCTTTTCCGTGGTTCTGGGCTCCAGACTCCAGAGCGGCGGGCTCGGGCCTCGCCGTCTGGTGCGGCCGTGCAGCCGCGCTCTGGGCTCCGGCCGGTCCCGGCCTCCGCTGCGTGCGGGCCTCCGGCCTCCCGGCCCCGCGCTCCGAGAAGGTGCCCGGGGCTTGGAGCGCTTGCGGATCAGGTGCTGCCAACTGCAATCCGCTTCTACTCGGGGTTAAGGGCTAAAATTAGCAGGTAGTCGCCCGCTCCCGCAGGAAGGCCGGGGCGGTGTGGCCAGAGTTGAAAAGCAAATGGGGATCTCATAGGTCGCAGGCGTTCGCCCCTGTAAAAGGCAAGAACCGCACAAGAGATCCAGTTGATAGAGTGGGGAGGGTGGGGAGGAAAAAGGAAAAGACAGTCGAAGTCAGGTATGGCTGAAGACAGCTTTAGAAAAGAGAAACGCCCTCACTTTATAGCCGGGGAAACGGGACGCGCGGCTCCTTCCCCCCGAGGCCTGGGAGTCCGACGAGGGGCTGGGGTGGGGGGAGCCAGGAAGACCTAGGGAAGGGGGCGGAGGTTCAGAGACTGCCAGGGTGCGGAGGGCTATTTCTTAAAAAGAACTCCCCCTCCCCCCACTGGACACCAGTCTTGTGGGACAAAACAGTGAAAGTTGCAAGGAAAAAAAAAAAAACCAAAAACCAAAAAACAACACCTCACCAAGAGGTTTGGGTTTCCCACTTCCAGTAAAACCCTGAGCTCTGCGAGACCGAGCCCACCTCTCATCTGGGGCCAATCGCCAGCCTTGAGGAAAGGTTTTTGCGGACCTCAGAGGGGCGGAGGACTGCAGGTTGGGGCCTCCCTGCTCTGTCCTTGAGGGGACTCCTTGGCTGATTTGGCCGCTGGGAGGTGGGAGAAAGTCTTCGTGTTGCTAAAAATAAAAAACAACCGACCTTCCTCCTCCCCAGCGCTTGCAGTCTCCAGGCCTGGCTGCATGGTGAGACGTCTGAACACGCACAGGATGCCAAGCCTTCCAGATGAAGAATGGATCACAGTGCCAACCATGTGGACGTGGATCTCCCCCAGATGGGCTTTGGTGCATCTCGCCCATCTGTAATATTTCCTCCATCCAGGTGATCCATCTTGCCTCTGCCCAGCGTGGTGGAAAACTTGATTCTCATTGTGGAAGCAGGAGAGTGCCGTATTTCTGCCCCTTGCTCTGAGCCCCGCTGATTCCGATTTAAGGGGCAGCTGCTCAGGTGTGCTGGGAACAAGATAGGGTCTATTTCATTGCTCAGCTGCTGCGGGGGCATCTTGCATGAGAGGCGGTCCATTTCTATCACTGATGCCGCCTGTATACTGTGCTAAGCATCTGTGACAAGGTTCTATCTTATCCAGTCCTCTCGGAAATCCACTGAAGTATTCACTCTACTCCCACCTTCCAGATGTGAAAGCCAAGACTCTGAAATAAAGGGATTCGCCCTAAGGTCACACACACACAAAGCGAGTAAATGAAGACGTCTGGATTCCAACCCAGGTCTGTCTGACCCCAACAACTTGTCCTCTTCCCCCCACCTCCTGTATCCTATCAGAATGCTCCCCTTTTCCCCAGCGAGGAAGTCAGGGCCCACAGTGTGAGGAAAGAGATAACACTTTGCCCTGAGTCCCCCCAAAAGTCAATGACCACAGACTACAGAGCCTAGATCCCACATTCTCTCCAGAGCCTTTATTCCAGGTCTGGAAGAGATGAAAGAGAGCCAGCACATGGGTAGAATGTATGGAATTACAGAGAGCCCGCTCACACCTTGCTTTGGCCACGTTCCCACACACACCCAGGGAGGTGGACACTGTTGTTATTACCCCGTTAGAGAGGCAGAGATGGGCTCAGCGAGGTTGAACAACTTGCTCCCTGTCCAGCCAGTTCACACAGAGCCCTGGCATTGGCCCGGGCCAGCCCGTTCCAAGCCTCCCAGCTCCGCACACCACATATGGGACCATTTAACCAGCAGAGTCGGGCCTTGGATTCTGTTGTGAAATTGCTAGGTTGTTTTCTCTTTAAGTGTTCCTGCAAATATTTGGGGATTCAAAACTTTCTCTTCATTTATGCCCCTCCTATATTCACTCCTTCTCCACCATGCACCCATCTGTGTCACAGGGCCATCAAAGAAACAAAACAAGGAGTTCCCCCTTATCTCTGTTCAATGATACTCAAAGACCATAGTGTATAGATTTTACCTACACTTGTATACTTTGCTCTATAACCATTTGCTTTATGCCCATCACCAAAACGCAAACGTGTCATCGAGAATTTAAAATTACGTGTGCGTGTATTTTTCATGATTTTCGTGGAATTTTTAACCCTTGCTTTAGACAGTGTTTTCTATTTGCTAAGATGCAAGGGCAAGAGTTTGAGGTCGGAGGAATCCTTTGGTCAAATTGTCCCATATCCAAAAGCATAACCAAGAAACCAGACAGGGAATGGCAGGAGAGGTCTCTAACCGGAGGGGATGTACCAAGTACCCTACCATCAGGACGAGATCTTGCCAGGGAATGGCATGAGCCTTCAGGCAGCCAGGGCTCCATCTCTATGCCCATCTGAACCTCACTTCTTTACTTCTCCACAAGAGCCATTGTCCTTCCATTCCAGGGAAAAGCTTTATTTTGTCTGATTATTATAAAATTATATGTATATTTTCATACTAGACCAGAATGTGTGAAGAAGTAAGTAACAGTCACTTGAATTTCCCCTAGCCAGAGGCCACCACTGTCAAACATTGGGAGATGTTAACTTTTGACACCTTGGAAAAGAAAAAAAATTCAATTATGTCTACACATTTTCATTATTGTTGTTCTAGTAAATAAAGAAAGGAAAGAAACGTGCTATGTAGTTCTGTTTATATGAAATTCATAACTGAATATAGAAGTCAGAACAGTGGTTGCCTCTGGCAGAGGTTGGCTATAAAGGAGCACAAGGGAACTCTTTGGGGTGCTAGAAATGTCCTCTATCTTGACTAGGGTGATGGTAACACATATGTGTACAATTGCCAAAATTCATTGAACTTAAGACTTGTGGGTTTGACTATAAATTTTTATATTTCAATAAAGAAAAAGAAAGAAAAGGAAGAATATCGGGCAATATTATAGCCAAAGACCAAGCTGGGGAGGGGGATGAAGGAAAAAAAAAGCATAAGATGCTCAGCTAAGACAAACTACACACAGACCCAGAGCTTTACAGAGAGGGATACAGGCTTGGCCCCCTATACCAGCCTCCCCCAGCAACCCCCTTTTGCAGGCCCTCACTTAAGTCCAAGAGGAATGGATCCTTAAAAGGGGAATGCAATCGTAAGTTCCTGCTGGGGCCCACCATCTACCAGACTCTCTCTTCTTCGATGCTGTGACTCCTCCATGTTAGTCAGACACTGCATTTCCTGGTAGGGGCGGGGTGTCCCTTGGAACCCAATAAGAATCTGTGCTGAGTCAGGAAGGAAGCTGGAAGGCCTTAAGTTTCAAATAGGTTAGGTTCCAAAAATTTCTTTCTTCATCGCTGTCTGGGATGCAGAATGTTGTCTCTCAAGAGCGGCAGTGTTAAAAATGGTCAAGTTTTCAAGTTTCTCCTCCCCCAAAAACCTATTAAATGTCTACTCATAAGATAAAGAATTATAGGCTTGGTAGGAATATAAGTGTGTTTAATTATACCGGTAGTATGCATGAAAAGCAACCCCCCCCCCGGAAATGTACCTGTTATTTGCCAGACACTGTGTTAGCATTTGGGATTCAAAAATGAAACATCTCATGATCTCTTCCCTCAAGCAGCTCACTGTCTAGTAGAGGAAGACGACCTTGTAAATACATAAGTGCAATAAAATTCATAGGTATTGTGATAGAGGTGGTCATAATTAAAGAAAACAGAAAAATAGAAGTAATGCCAGTTGGCAGGGGAGAACACATTTTGAAGCAGGGAGAGTTGTTGGGACAAGGAATTAGATGAAGCTCTGTGGAGACTCTAGGGTCGTGGGGCACTTTGAAGGGAAGTGGTCCTAGATCTGATTCTACTTCAAAATGTATGTCTTCCCTTTTCTTTTTTCTTTTTTAAGATTTTATGTATTTATTTGAGACAGAGAGAGAACACAAGCACGGGGAGGAGCAGGGAGAGAGGGAGAAGCAGATTCCCCACTGAGCAGGAAGCCCAACATGGGGCTGGATGAGACTCCGGGATCATGACCTGAGTCGAAGGCAGACTTAACCGGCTGAGCCACCCAGGCGTCCCCGTGACTTTCCTTTTCACCGCAGAGCATGACCGTTGGACTTCTCAGTCATGTTTGGGGTTGGTTGGTTTTGACTTTCAAATTATTTGAAGGGAGTAGAAGTGGGCAATACTTACAATTCCAAAGAGAAAAGGAACGAACATTTGGAAGGTATATAAACCTTGAACAAAGCTTGTCAGAGGTAAATTTGGCCCAGTGGTTGAGAGAGGAAAAAGCATAACCCCCAACACTGGGGAAGAAAGAAAGACCATTCCCCACACCAGCCACCAGATGGTGAAGATGGGCCAGGATAGCTTGGTTGCCTTCTTGAAAGCAGAGTGGGTTAGTAGACTGTGCCCCCAGAAGTATGGCACCACTTAAAAATCACATACTTATAGTATTTGGGGATCATGTAGTCATTCAACCAACATAGCGCATTTACCATTTATAAGGAAATTTGCAACTGACCAGCAATTAACAGGGTTAAAAGATCTAGTGGATCATGATTCTTGCCCTCAAGGATTATTTGGGGAACTAGATAACTATTATTTAATGTGCCCAGACATAAAATCCCCTATGTTTTGTTTTGTTTTTCCCTCCTGATGCTGTTGTATCAGCAAGTCAGGAGTAATCACAATGCAGGATCTACTGACCTCACACAATTGTTCTGAGGGCAGAATATGATTAGGAAGTAAACATGCCTTTGTCAAGTTCGGGCATTAGACAAGCATTAATCATTAAAATGGTTTTCAGCTATGTCCTCTTGCTGGTCAGTTTTTCATTCAACAAACATATACTGTGCGCTTCTGCTGAGCAAGCACTGCTATGGGCACTGGGAACATGGCAGTAAAGAAAACAGACAAAATCTCTGCCCTCATGGAGCTGACAGTCCCCAATGGGACAGTCTGCTGACACTAATAAAAGGATTCATCAGCCATGTGAGAGAGGCAGGAAGCTTAAGGCAGAGCAAAGCCAAAAGTGTATATATATATATATGTATATATATATACATATATATATACATACTCTGTGTAGAATATTGAAAAAAACTGGAAACAAACCATGTGTCCTTTAATGCGGGACTGGTAAAAGATTGTGTTTCTTCTGTACTAGAGAAAATTGTGTCACTATTAAAAAGATGAGAGTAGGGGCGCCCGGGTGGCTCAGTCGTTAAGCATCTGCCTTCGGTTCAGGTCATGATCCCAGGGTCCTGGGATTGAGCCCCACATCAGGCTCCCTGCTCAGCAGGGAGCCTGCTTCTCCCTCTCCCACTCCCCCTGCTTGTGTTCCTGCTCTCGATGTGTCTCTCTCTGTCAAATAAATAAATAAAATCGTTAAAAAAATAAAAAGGTGGGAGTAGCTATCTCTATGTAGTATCACAAGAAGATCTCCAAGACCTGTTAAAGGAGAATAAAGCAAGTTCCAGAACAATACATAATATGATCCCACTGATGTTTAAAACAAACACTTACCTGTTTGTTTATTCACACACTAATGTACAGTGACATGTATATACACTTGAATGAGATCTTAGAGAAAAATTCTGGAAAGATACACAAGTGACAGCAGTGCTACTTCAAGTCCACATTCAAGGGAGCAAAGGGGCACTGGTGGGGGAATGGTGTGGACCAGGTACGTTTACTGACTCTAATGTATACAAGTATACAATGTATACTTCTTGACTGTTTCATTTCTGGCAAGAAGAGTGTATTGGTATATGGCTTGTATAATTAAACAAGGTGTATGCATGTGGGTACAACTGAGTTATAGCAATATGATTATGGATGATAATCGTTGCTCTTTTAATCTCCTTTAATGTTGTTTTAATTGTCTATAGAGAGATATATACACATAGATGAGATGAAGCCAAAACATAAAAGATGGAATTAAAACACGATGCCCTGGCTCTGAAATCTTGCCTCTCCCCACCCCACCTGCAGTTTACAGTGAAACCTTTTTTAAGAGCATCATGGGACGTTGGATAGAAATCCTTGATCTCCTAGTTCTGAGGCACATGTAATTATTTCACAGGTAAGTAGCCTCAAGGATCTTTTCGATAGATATGACTTCATTTTGAGAGCATCATGCCTCTCCCAGCAGTAATTGAGCTTTGGCTGGAGCCAATGTGGGGGTTCTGGTATGTGCTGGGTGACTCCCAATCAGGTTCCCCTGGCTCCCAACCCAAACCAAGTGAGCTGGCCTTGGCTTTGGCTGATCTCTGAAAACCAGCTCATTCATCCTGTCCAGATCTCTTCCACTGCCTCTCTCTCTCTCTGGGACTGTGGGCAAATCTTCCGGGTCTCCAATAGAGGCCGCTGGCCTGCGTAGCCTGTAATTTATAACCCTAAACTTCTCATTTCTACTGTGGCAAATTGTTACAAGGGGCCACGTTCACTCACATGCACCTGCCATGTGCTGAGAACGAACAGAAGCAGAAAAGCAAGGTCTCTGGCTTTAAGGGGCTGCTCTTGGTGGAGTCAAATTCTTGGGGAAGTTGAAGCCAATGGAACTGCTAGAAAGATGGACTCTGAAGCCATTTGGAGACCCTCCTGCACTTCTCTCCAGCCTCCTGCTCTAAGTCTCTTACACAAAGTTGGGCTCTGCTCCTCCAACCCCTTTGTTCTGAAAATAAACTGGTAGTGCCCCTAGCCATGAGGTATTGCTTCAGGTCCCAGAGACGGGCCCACACCCATGTGACAGTGGGAGAAGAAGAGTCTCGGCATGGGGACAGGGATAGCCTGAGGCCAGGGTGAGATCCGAAAAACTGGAGTGGAGACCCAGGACCTTACAGCCAATCTACTGGCTCTGTCAGTCTTTATTGAGCACTCGCTGTGTGCCAGGCACTGTGTGGAGCACAAGCATGAATCAAGGGCATTTGGGGCTTCCAGACCGGGCTGCCCTATGTTAGAAGCCTTTCCTGAGCAGGCTGATACCCTCTGTTGGAGAACATTCAGATCTGTGCCCTTCTCCAGGAGCCCCTCAAACAGTCAGTTCAACCTGTCTTAGCCGCCAAGGAGCAAAAAGCTGCCAGAGGAGACCCAAGCATGCTAGACACTGGGTCAGAAGGGGCTAGGGGTCATCCTAGATGTCATCCTAGACGGTGCAGAAAACTCCACAGTGGCCTTGGTCGAGGCCAATGTCCAGCAAGGGGAACTTGCTTCCATGTGCTGAGGGTGGATAGGTGTTTTCCCAGAAGTGTGGCAGGAGCTGAGAATGAACCGGACCTCTCATTCCTTCTCCACACCTCCCAGCTGTGTGACCTAGTCAGTGTCTCAACCTCCTGTGTCTCAGTTGTTTCTTCTGTGAGATGGGAATAATAACAGTCCCGCTGATTCTTCTTCTTTCAGAAGATGATCTGGAGATTAAATGAGGTCATGGATAGAAAAGTAAATTATAAAGCACTTTACAATACAAGCAGATGTTGTCATACACTTTGAGGCCATCCCCTCCTCCCCCTCCAGGAAGGCCCTCTGCCACCAGCTGTGTGAGCTTTCCCCACGTGGCGAATGCAGGAACATTCATGTGGGCGGCAGAAGGAATCCCTAGCCAGATCACTGCTCATTGGTTCAAGGGGTCCTTCTAGAACCCACAGATGCCCTCCCAGGATTTCCCTTAGGAGGCAAGTGGACAAGCCGGCCCTGGCCCTGGCTGAGCCATCCCATTACTGCTGCAGGCTCAGGCCCCACACTGAAACCCATCAAACCAATGCCATGTATGCCCAACAGGTGGCGATAAGTGGCGTTTTCAGGGTGCTCCCTGGGTGCCATGTGGGAGAGGCTCTTCCTCAGCAGGGAGAAGGAACTCTGGGGGCAGCGGGGGACCCAGCGCCTCTGGTCCTCACGTGCTGTCAAACTTGGGCAAGTCGCCTCACCTCTCTGGGCACTGCTGTCAGATGCACATTGTTTTTTTAATTATAAAAGTGACACATGATCATAAAAAATGTAAATGTGACAGAGGGGAAAGAGTCCGTGAAGATGCCTCCCCCAACTCCACTACCATTTACAGTCCACTAGAGAAATTCTTCTCAGTACAGGAATAGTTCTATATGCTTCTTGAACAGAAACTGGGATCACAAAGATACCTTGTCTCTTGGACCTTTTTTTTTTTTTTTCCTATCGTATAAGCAGGTCTGCCTCCTTCCTTCAACCACCTGCAGAGTGTTCCAGCATCTATTGGGCCATTTTGTGACATTTCCATAAGATAAATTCCCTGGCATGAAATTACTGGATCAGAAATATTTCTCCACATCCTCAATACATTGAGTGTTCTCTTCCTTTTTAAGACTTTGAGACTGATGAGGGAAAATATTATTTCCTTCTCATTTTAAACTGCCCGTTAGCGAGGTTCAGCATCCTTTCTTGTACGTTTAGTGGCTATTTATATTTCTTCTTCTGTAAAAATCTTGCTTACGTCTTCCAATTTTCCTATTGGCACGATGGTCTTTTTCTTATCTGAAAGCAGCACTTTATATAGCAAAGCTCTTAATCAATTGCTTGTCATACGTTATGTTACATCCCTAGTTTGTCATGTGTTTATAGTGTGTATCTCCCATACCAAAGATTTGAATATTTATGCAGGTAAAATTGTTAGCTTTTTTTCCTTTATGGATCCTGAGGTTTATCTGTTTTCAAGAAAGGCTTTTCACAGTCTCAAGATTATGGAATTATTTTTATCTGGTTTCTTTTGCAACTTCTGTCATTTAGAAAAATGTGTGCATCTTTAATACATCTGGAATTTTTTTTTCTGTGGATGTGGCATGAGGTCAAAACCCACTTTTTTCCCTCTCTTTAAGGGATAACTGATTATTCCAGCATTGTCAATGCACCAATGTAGCCTTTCTCTACAAACACAAATTACAGTCTTTATCACATAACTTACATTTTTCTCCATTAGCCTATTTTATTATATTCTACATTCTACTTTGTTTATCTATTTGGTATTTCTATGACATTAGCGTACTGCTTAATTATTCTGACTTTTGTAATATCTTTTCAAATCCAATGGGTCAAGCCCCATCTCATTTTTCTTCTTTTACAGAAATTGTCTATCCTCATGGATCTGTCCTCCTGGATAATACTGAGAGTCAGCTTGCCAGTTCTTTTAATCAGAAATTTTATTGAATTTACATAAAATTTATAAACTAACTTGGGGGGAGAATTGAGATCTTAACAATATTTAGACATCCCAAGCAGAAAGACAATAATTTATGTTATTTAGATTTTCTTCAGTGTATTCAAACCTCCTTCTAAAAGGTCTTAGATATTTCTTGCATGAATTGGTGTATTTTCAGTTTTTTGGTGATTTATGCTTTTTTTGTTCTATTTTTGCTGTAGCAAAAGGAATAATTTTTATATTTTCAACTTGCTATTTCTATTATATGAGAAAACTATTTAGTTTGTGTCTGGGAATCCTTGCGAACTCTCTTGTTGTTTCTATTAAGTAATCTGTTGAGTCTCTTGGATTTTCCACTTAATAACTGCTTTACTTATTATCAAAGGAAAACATGTCTACTGTAGAACATGAAAACACACAAAAGGAAAGGGACAAATAGTACCTGTAAAATCTACTCTTTAGAAAAAGTTATTCTTAAAACTTTGGTGAATGTCCCACCCCCCCAAAGATATATTATACGCATATATTGTATATGTTATATACATTTATATGTATATACACACACACATAAAATAGTATAATTTATATGACATTGTACACATATCTACTGAAGTATACAATGTATAGGTCTAAGAAGTAAGTAATACATGTATACAGAGTTGTTCAAGTAGCCTCATACTGTGCATAATATTTTCTAACCCACTTTTTCTACTTAATAAACTATCACAAACCTTTTCCCACAATGTTATTATTCTACATTATCATTTCAACAGCTGCATTAAATGTGTGAATTTATTTAAGCAACCCCCAACTGCAGACATGTAGAGAGTCAATTTTTTAATATTAGAAGTCTAAAGTGAACATCTCATTACTTAAAGCTCTGTGAGTATTAATGATTATTTCTTTTTT